CACAGCAACACAGGAGCCATTCTGGGATCAGGCTACACATCCTACAGTATATAAAGTGTGATAAGCACCTAACTTGAAGCACTTGAATTATTCTGTACTGAAATGTTCAGTTCCTGACAGAAAAACAGCCAGTGCCATTTGGGAGCTCTTGAAACGTCCAAGACCTCTAGACAGAACAAACCATTACAGGGCAGCATTTATGTCAGTCCTGTCCTGTTCTGGGGTAGTGGCTACAGGCCAGATGAGACTTCTCACAACACCTAAAGTGAAACTGCAGAGCTGGTTTTCAGAAAACTCAATCCTGCTCTGTGCAGCCAGGGTGCTTATCATGGTCTTCACCATGTGCTGCAGGGAAATCTCTGCTCTGGCATGTGGATTACCTCCTAACCCTCTTTCTTCACTGACCTTGGAGTCTGCAGGGCTATGCCTCTCACACATTCTCACTCCTCTCAAGTCTGGCTCTAATTGTTGCAATAGGACAAGAAGTGATGGTTTTAAACTAAAAGAGGGTAAATTCAGACTAGATATAATGAAGAAATTTTTTATAATGAGGGTGGTGAGGCACTGGCACAAGTTTCCCCAGAGGTGGTGGGTGCCCCACCCCAGAAATATTCATGATCATGTTGGACGGAGCTCTGAGCAACCTGATCCAGTTGAAGATGTACCTGCTCACTGTGGGGAGGGAGATAGACTAGATGATATCTGGAGGACCCTTCCGACCCTTCCAACCCAAACTGTTCTGTTCTATTCTATTCCATAAATCAGCTTGGTGTGTTGTGAAGGCCAGTGACATTACAACACAAGAATTTTTGTCATCTCCCTCTATTTTATATATAAACACCTGAAATTACTTGCTGATACACTGCAAAAGTATTCCTGAGTTATCTCATCCACGTATTTCCTGGGAAGAGGAGAAAAACAGCATATAAAGGCTAAATAATTACCATTCTCCCAGGTGAAACAGAAGTGAGATGAGATTTGCTTACATACATACATACACACACACACACACACACACACACACACATACACATTACTAAATCACAAAGCCAAAGTTTTAGTATCATGTCATACAAATGCTCCTCAGAGTAACTCGAGTTAGAGAAAAATGAGCCTGATATGGTGCAATCTGAAGAAAAGCATGCCTGGAATGCAAAGTCACATGTGAGAAGGTGGAAGAAGCTGCTCCAAACCAAAACTCATCTCACGCTTAGCTGCTACTGATCATCTCATTTAGTAGCCAAGGAGAGACCTCAGCGATGTTAGATAGTCAGTAGCCCAAAATGCTCATCCTCCTTTGAGTGATTTCCTGGACAAATCAAAACTACATCCATTGGCCACCCTGTTCTTTCACATGGGCCTTTTCCTGCTAGAACTAAGATAAAACCAGTCCGAGATACTGCTTAAGAGCATGTCTCTGATAATAGCTGGGTATTTTATTCAATTATCAAAACACTCACTTCAGTCTAAGCTTAATCAAAGACTTGAAGCTGATAGGAGATAAAACCAATCCTAAGTAGTCACAGAAATTATGTAAAACAAACTGTCAAAAGATTACTGAGAAAAAGGACTCCTTTTCTTAGAGCAGGTGACAAAAAAACAATTCAAAACACAAACTCCTGAATGCACAGTACTTATTTAAACTGATATAACTTTTAAAATTAACGTGAAAACTATGAGTTACTGTATATTCCTCATATTGAGTTCAGGAGCAGTGAGAATTGCTCACATTGATAGTGAAAACAAGACTGATGTTCAGCTGAAGCTATCAGAACTTGCAGGTAGCTACACGTGTTCTACTTAGTCAAAATATATAAATCCCTAGTAAAATAGAAAAGCTCAAAGAATGGCAAGGATACACATGCCAGATGCAAAAATACCATGCATGTGTGTGTTGAATACATAATTATGCTATGCAGCCAATTAGTAAAACCAGTAATAGTGCATAAAAACACATAACACACAGGACAAATGCCAGGGCTTGTAAATTGTAGGTTGTAGCTGCTCAGCAACTGCGCTCTAAAGCTTAACATTTGCAGCAAGAAAGACGTGCTACTTGATTGTGCTGCCTGACCTATTGTTTGACTAAAGGTTGAACTTGTGGCTTGAGAATTCAAAGGGCCCGGGTTTGTGGGAAAGGCAGCCATGGCAGGAAAAATGGCAACAGGGGAATGCTCAACTGCTATTTCAAGTCAGTAGTTTCCTTCTGACTCTGCCAGTGCACAGACCCCTGAACTCTCTCACGGCCTCTGTAGTCTTTCTATCAGTTTAAAAGGGTAGTAGATGTTGATGCTTTGAGTCAGAGTCTTTGTTATCTTGAATTTCATGAGTCCATTATCAGATTCCAGCTAAAATAAAATTTACATTGCTGGCAGCAAAGTCCAGATTGCAAACTTTGACTCTTTCTTCTACAGGAAATCTGGCCTGTCCTTACTAGACTCCTTCAAAGCATACACTTCCATGCTCATGTGGCTAGTTTAGACGGTTTTTGTGAGCTCTAAGAGTCAATGGACTGTACATATTTCTCAGTGCAGCTAGAAAGTTTGCAAGAACTTATTAACACTGCTTTTAATGCATATTACTTATTATTTAACCATTATTCTCCACTTGTCTGCTTTGAATGCATATTATTTATTTAACCATTGTTCTCCACTTGTCTGGCAGGAACTAGATGTCTCTATTTGTCGATAAATGTCAGTTGGTCTGATTTTGTTCATAAATGTGAAATATGATCCTAACTTCTTTGTATTATCCTAGTAACTGAGTCATGTGAAATTACGTTTCTCAGTGCATGTGCAACTACTCTTTCATTTTATGCTTTCTGCTTAGAAGTCATAATCCTAGTGACATATGTAGGAAAAGGACAGCTGCATACACATCCATGCATATATTTTGACATATGGCTTGCATAACTGACTAAAAATCAGGTAGCTTCAGTAATTAGGTACATAGGCTTTGGCATTTGCTGTCCAGTTATGACACCAGCCATTTTTGCCTTGAATAGCCTTTGAGGAATGGAGCTCCAGTGCCTATATCTAGACTCCATAGAAGACTGATAGCAAGAAATTATTTAGGGAGTAGAATGTTTTTATCAGAATTTCCATAGAAGTAATTGAAGACTAAAAAGCATCTTTATTTAAATAAAATGCTAGATGCATTTAGACCCATTAGTCAGCATCAAGTACTGGTCTTCTCAGAATGGAAATCAGAAAAACTTCATGCTGACAAGTGAGAATGGAAACACCTCAAATGATAACATGAAGCACAGAGTCTCTGACCTCAAATCTCTTTGACAGGAGACTGTACTAGGGCTTGGGAGAAGAGCTGGGTTGAATCCATCCAAATACATTCTTCTCTTAAAAAACTAAGTCAAGTTCCATTTGCTTTAAAAATTCAGCAGCTACAGGCCATGATTTGCATTGAACAAAGACGGGTCACAAAGGAGATCCACACTTTGGAAAAGTATGAATTCCACCTTATCAAAACCTCATGTAAATCACCCTGTTACAACCAGCCTTATAGGTGCTTCCTCCCTCTGGACTAGTTAGCCTTGAATTTTTGTGTGCAGGGCAACAGAGTCATAGAATCATAGAATGGCTTAGGCTAGAGAGGACCTTAAAGATCATCTAGTTCCAAACACCCTGCCATGGGCAGGAAACGTTCCACTAGAGCAGGTTGCTTAAAGCTCCATCCAACCCAGCCTTGAACACTTCCAGGGATGAGGCATCCACAACTTCGCTAGGGAACTTGTGCCAGTGCCTCACCACCATCACAGAAAATAATTTCTTACTCATATCTAAACTAGACCTACCCTCCTTTCACCTTAGGGCCATTCCACCTTGTCCTATCACTACATGCCCTTGTAAAATGTCCCTCTCCAGCCCTCTTGTATCCCCTCTAGGCATCTAAGAGGCTCCTCAGAGCCTTCTCCAGGCTGAACAACCCCAGCTCTCTCAGCCTGTCTGCACAGGAGAGGTGTTTCAGCCCTATGATCAACTTAGTGGTCTCCTCTGGACTTGTTGTAACAGGTCAACACCCTTCTTATGCTGGGGACCCCAGAGCTGGACACTACTCCAGGTGGAGTCTCAAAAGAGCAGTACAGGGGCAGAATCAAAGTGGAGCAGTGGAGCAGCCAGTAGAGATAAAAGAGAGATTGCAATGTTTCCCATCAGCATTAGATTTAGAAAGACATCTCCACAGTTTATTCCAATCAGTTTCATAAAAAATGCGAAAATAACTGGGCAATAAATGTGGGCATAAAAGCATTTCCCATTATTTGGTAAACTGGGTTATTTTATCAGAAAGAGAAACAGTTATAGAAAATAATGACTTAATTATAGCAATTTGCCTAAAAGGTTTAATGTGAAGTGTAGAGATATTTACGAATAAATGAAATCTTATGGAAAAGAAAATAATCTACCATGATAGTGAAAACCATCAGATCATGGGACAGTCTTTTAAGATGTGGTAGATACCTCAGCTAAAATGGCAGATCAAATCACACAAAATATTAGCTGTGCAAGAAGTTAATAATCCTCCAGGGCAGAATGTCGGATGAAGGGATCTGATTTTCTGAGTCTTCTCTGTCTGATCTCAGTTGTTTCACTATGATCTTTCAAGCAGTCCATCATAAGAGTAAGCAGCACACCAAAATCAGAAATAGAGACTTTACAAAATGGCAATAATTTTGTATCCTTTCAAACTAAGGACATGATGAATTTTTCTTTTGCTTCTAATTGTCTTCATATTAAAAACAACTTTATATGGGCAAGGCATAGC